CCAATTGTGTCATTATCCTAATGTTCATTGACTTAAGATAATAGAGGGCCCACTGAGTTCAGAGAATTCATGGAAACTTAGAAAACATAGACACAGAAAGAGATTGGGGGCTACAGATGAATAAGATCTGTATGAAGAACCACAAAGAATGGGCTTTGGAAGAGATTGTTTTGGAAAGCATGGAGTTTGAACTCAGGTTAGAGAGTGAAGAGAGGCTCATCCTCTGAAATGGGGTAGATAAAATAGGGGGTAAAATGCATGTGGACAAGTCCAGGAAACAAAGCCCGAGGAATAGCGGGTGATGATAAACTCATAGATGGCAATCAAAATTGAATGGAAGGCAGAGAAGCTCTTGGGCCTACTTTCAGCCAATCCTACATCTGTCTTTGTTACAACCAGACAAATCTAGGTTTTGAGGGGGTAAGTTACTCATCATCTTTGACAAGTGTCTACCAGACTTCCTTAGCAATCAGATAACATTTACGATTGCTTCCCTAAGCCTTTCTGGTGTGTCACAACTTTCAGTCTTCTGCACACTGATTTCTAACCAAAGGATTCTGCTCTGTCAATGCCCCATTAAATTAACCTCAGATTGCTGATAGCACCATGTCAGGGGCTCACCTAGTATAGTGATGAGTTAATGAATCCTCCCCTCTGAAAGCAAGATATACTCTCCTCTTAAATTATGTTAGGAACTAATAGAGAATTCCAAGGTTTCTAGTTTGGGTCCTTGTTCTTTCATGTGGTCATTTCTTTAATAAATACTCATTTATGAGCCACTCTATGACAGATTAGGTTCCTGCTCTCAAGGCTTTACAATGTAGTTGGGGGGGTGAATATAAACTAATAAATTATTTCAAGTGTGGTGTTGAGAAAGAAAAAGTCATGGCGACATGCCAGAGTTACCGAGGCAGGGGCAGAGGAATAACTGGCTGTTATAGTTGGAGAATAGTGAAAGAGATTCATTGAAGAGGTGACTTTGAGCTGAGATTTGGATAAAGCCATGAAGCTACACAAAGTAAAGGAGAAGATGGCAAAAATTATGAGCAAAGATAATGACACGTTCAAAGGTCCTGAGAAAGGAACAAAAATGATATATTTAACAAAAGCAAGCAAAGAGAAAGAATGAGATGTAAAGGAACAGGGGAGGTGGACATATACACCCCTGAAGTTAAAGAACTTACCCAGGGCCACAGCACAGTAAATGAGTAAGCAAGGAGGTGAAACAAAAGATAAAAATAAATGGCATATACAGCAGACCAGACAGAGGGTCCCATGGAACAGTAACATTTGAGTGCATCAGAGAGGATGCAAGCCTAAGACGTAGGTAGGGTTCTGAAACTCAGCCAACTTCAGGAGACAGGCAAGTATCCTAAATGAGATATGCAAACCCAGGTAAAAGAACTGTAGAAACTACAGTGACCCCAGAATTAGTGACATCCCAAATGACGTTAATAGTCATTAAAAATATTTGCAGACAAAAATACAGCACACCATTAAAAATACTTTGCAAGTATTTATGCACCACTGAGCTGGAATAAAAGCATGAAGTAGGCTGAGAATGAGGGGTCTCATTTAAAAAAAAAGAGTTCTGCCTTGTATTTCCATGAAATAAACAAAAAGAATATGTTTTGTCAGGCAGTAACCCAAAGGCTATAACACTGATGACAAAAAAAAAAAACTATTTGTTACAGAGCTCTCATAAATTAAAAATGAAGTTAATGATCAAGTGGACCAGATTTGTAAAGACAGGATCTGCAGAACCATGAAGTCCAAGCAATTACCAAAATGCATACATCATGACAGTCCACTCTATGTCTGAATGAGCACCAGGACAGGAAGCTCACTCCCACAAAAGGCACTGTGACCATTTTGAAGTTTTTCTCCATTGTTATGTGGAGCTGATACTTGCCTCTTTGTAGTTTTATAGTCCCAGTTTGCTCTCGAGAAACACACAGAACTTATTAATAACATTGCCACCTGCCAGCCCTTCAGATATTTAGAAATTGACTCTGTCACTCCTCTCCCTCTACAAGTTGTCCTTTCTCTAGTTTAAACATATTTACCATCAACTATTCCTCAGTCTGTTTCTAGAACCTGCCACCTCAAATACCTTTCTGTGACTCTTCTCCAGTTTGTCATTACTCTTCTTAAAAGAGTGCTCAAAGAGAATGTGACCTTTCTACCTGACATTTTCTGTGTCTGCAGTGGTAGGCATACAAGTACCTTTTCTGAGTTCAGTCACCTGTTGTCCCTGCCCCCTCTCATCCAAGACAGTCTGTTTGTTGTATGTTGTGAGGACACACATGATCTTCGGCAAGGGATTTCATCAGTATAAAGAAGGCCATTCCTCATCACTCTATCATTTCTGATTAAGATTGTTTGGCCTAATGTACATTACATCCCGCACCAATAATGCCCGAGCAATGCTTCGATGTTCTCATTCCTCTTTCTAGACATCACCTTATTATGTACTCAAACTGCAGAAACATTTTTGTATGAAGATGAAAATGAAATTTAAAATAAGTGGTTAAAGGCAGAGAAAAAATTGGAAGGATGGGCCTTGGAGAGAGTGCTGTACAGAAACACCCAGTGAGCTGGCTTTGAATCTGACTTATCCATTTACCCTCCATCACCACTTTTTCAAAAACTAAATTGATCATTATAATCAGATGAGAAATAGCTACCTAAAAGCATATGCTTAGTATAAACGTACAAAGCTCTGAAATAAGATTTCAGGTACATAATTCACATAAGTCATGTGATGATCTTTTGGAATATACTATTGTTTCCATTTTAAAGTCAGGAGAATTAAAACACAAAGGTGAAATGACTAACCCAATGTCATGCAGTTAGTAGGTGGCATTGGATTTGGGCTTAATTCTGCTTCTTTCTGAGTCCAACCTCTCTATAGTTCTATATCACAATCTCCCTTAGTGGATAATGTCTGTAACACATGTCCACTTACCTAGAGATTAAAAAAAAAATTATGGCAATTACTTCTCCTGTGATGCTCTTCCAAATAGGTGGAAAGTAGGAACATGTGTTGCTTAATCTGTGGCGCTAGAGATGGCCTCAAAACATGTACACAGGGCAAAAGAACAAGAGGAGAGAAAGGGCACACACCAGCCACATTATTGGGCATCATATCTTGAACTGAGCGGAAAAATATCTGTGCAGATTCTCTCACTAGCATTTTTGGAACACAAACAAGATTTCAAGGTGACTGTTCAGCCTAAGAAAACAGTGTTTTCAAGCACTTTTAATACCACTTTAGTAGCATTCACTTGTATATAAATCATGTGCTAATTTATTCATTAAAGTAGCCTGTACTTGGCAACATTTTATTAACCTCAGTTTATGTTAATAAGATCTATACTTGTATTTTTAATGCATCTCTTATAATTACTCCATAATTCTGGCTTTCCTCCAATATGGGGCTAAATCCTTATCAACCCCCAAATTGCACTCCATATCCAATGAAAATTAGTTTGAATGATAGTATTATAGAATTACTTTGGAAAGCCCAGATTTGGCAGAGAGCCTATTCCTATACCTAGACATGAACCAAAATCTCCTGGGGATTTTCTTACATAATGACTGAGTTCCTTTGTCATCTATTGAGTCAGAATCTCTAGGGAAGGAACCTCTTGGGAATTGAGATTTTCAGCAACTGGTTTACAAACCATCACTTAAATGCTAGTATCTAAGTCAATTTCCTTCTACAGAGGTCCATTGTGACTCTTGAAAAACGCAGGAAACATGATATAATAAGATATATCCTAAAGACATAATAACCAGTCACCTCAAATGATCCGATAAATCCTAGAAAAATGAATTACCCATTCATTATTAAGTGCTGATGTATTGTTTCTTTATTTCCAAGGTTTGGGTAGCCATTTTCATGTCTAGTTACTATAAAGAAATCCTATAGACACACAAAGAAAAGCACAGACTCTACGTCACCCATGAAGACCAAGTAAAGATAATCAGATAGATTTACCCGGTAGAGCCGAATGATAAAAAACCATAATTAAAAAAAAAATGCATTTAAAAAAAATCAATGTAAGCAACCAAAATAAAAATGAATTTTTAAAATCAATCTAAGAGGTTACAACAGGATTATAAATGGATGGCTAATATGGAAACTCTCTCCTATCTGACACCCATGGTTGACATTGCTTATCAATCACAGCCCTTTTCCTTGCTACATCCAGAAAAGGCCTTAAAGTCCTTTTCAATCAAGCATTCTATGGTGCTAGTGCCATAGCTCTAACATACAGGAACATGGTTTCCCTGGCTAGAGTGAGTATGTAAACTGGAATTGCAATCTCACCCATCTTAGGCTATATGTTCCACACAGGACATATGAAGGTTCTCATGCAGACAAGATCCTAGAAGCAAATCACCTGGCTACTGCTCATATTCGTGTTTGTACTGATTTCACACTTACATTTTTGAATAGGAGTGTCCATAAATCAGTTAACTGCTAAAATGTTTATAATACATGGAGTACACTCATATTATCTAAACCACTTTCTGCTCATGATAATTCTAAGATCCACTTTGAGTAAATGCTATTAGGGAGACCAGTTGAGTTTCAAAGAGTGTCAAAATTAAACATAGGATTTGAATTAAAAAATCCTATATCATTCTGCTTTCTCTCTATTGATGGTACTGCATATTTTCTTCTCTGGAGATTCTGGAATATTATCTCCACACAAATATATAATGTTCTGGTAAATGAGAGGGTAGACACCACAAAGGACACTTGGTGGCTGCTGGGTTTCATTTGAAAGAAGGAATTAATTATAATTAACTTATCTGGGGTTTCTATTATGGCCATTGTTGGTTCCTTGGCCTCTACTGCCATTTCCCAAGTTCTACTAGGTAGAAACCAATTTAAGACCATATCTAGAGTGACATTGGTTCACCAGGTTGATTGCATCAAGATGACAGCCACTGTGATCAAACAATAAGATCAGAAAGGGCAGACTTACCTCATCATAGATGCTGTCATTCCTGCGAAAGTCTCCAGCCTTCCTGGGAAGAACGTGAACATGAACGTGCTGAAAATGTGTAAGAAAGAAAAAATACAATGTGATTATCTCTCCATATGTTTTTAGACTTGACAAGTGATGCTCTCATGAAGCCCAATTACTCCACATTGGTTCTTTCTGGATTAGTTTTCAGAGGAAGATGATGTTCACCTTCCGAAACAATATCTGAAATCTGCTGAGAATTGAGAGGCACAAAACAAGAGAGAAGAACTTAGTGGCATATCTGAGTTGGAGTGAAATGCCAGAATATTTTAGAGGCTCTGTGGAATTATTCATTGTTGTCAGTCTTGGTTGTATTTAGCCAGTACTTTGAAATGACAGTGTGTCTTATAAAAGATGACCATCGTGACTCTGAAACTGACAAGAAATAAGAATCAGCTAAAAAAGAACTGCATGAATAAATGAATGAGGAAAGGAAGTACTAAGGGACAGAATTACAGAATCAGGAATTTGAATAATAATCTTACAATGGTAGAATAGACAGTTCTCATTTGTTGAACTTTCATTTACCATGATAAGCAAAGCTCTGTGCTTGATAAAATTCACTTAATACTCATAAAAATCCCATTCTAAAGTAATCTTTATTTTGCAGATGAAGAAATCAGTGCTCAGAGAGGTCACAGCCCCACAGGAAGTGGTAAGAATATACACAGGAAGTGAGGTCACCTGGCTCTTGCCCTCTCATTTTTCATCAGCAAAGGCACTGATTCTGTGAACTTAATCTCTTAAACAGCCCATTTCTCTAGTCTACTAAGACACCCAGGTAATATACATAGCAATGCTATTATGCAGAGATCATGAATCAAGGCTTACAGCATATCTAATTCAATATATTCTTCAAGGCTGAACCGCCATTTCAAAGTTTTACTTTACCAATAGTGTCTATTGTACCTCTGTTGAAGTTAAACCTCTTCCTGCCCTTGAGTTATGTTCCCACATTTATTACAAACCATGGAGAGGAATGTGAAAATTAAAAGCCTAAATCTGGAGAGTCTGACAGTCAAAGAATCAAACCTCATCCCTGATCACGCCTACCCTTTCTTGATTACTACGATCGGGCGGTGAAATTCCAAAAGACCTCAAGAGAACTAAGATTAAGTGTCCCTGTGGTTTTGTGTAAAAGGAAGGGAAAATGATATGCTATTAAAGCAGAGGCAGAGAGCAAGGCACTCCAAGGTGAATGAAGCAGAGAAGAACTTCACACCAGCCCCTGGCACGCTGCCCCTCAAGAGTGACATGCTTCTGCCACAATATTCTCCAGTCAGTGATAAAGCCAGTCATGGGATCCCTCAGCAACTGGGGTGAGTGTCTACTTATGTCAGAGAGACTATGGGAGCATAGGGGCAGAGGGAGGAAGAACAAGTAAGGAAAAATAAATCACAAACTACCCAGGAACCAACTTCTTCAGAGAAAGCCAGGTGGTGTGGGCACAGACTCCAATCAGTAGACTCCAATCAGAAACTAATTGGAATCCACAGACTGGATGATGGAAAGTGCCACAAAAGAAGGAGATAGCCCACATTTAGAGCCTTCACTTGATTTCTGCTTCTAAAACCTGCTGTTGTATCCTTTCTTCTTTTCCAACTTTCCTTCTTTCTCCTTCTGGTCCCCCCAGCCTCCCATTTTCCAAACCAGTGTTCTGCAGTCAAACTGCCTAACTAAGGACACTGATCACTTAATAGCCACTTATCAAGAAGTACAATACATTCAGTGTAGACAAACCTACCAAGTAACTAGCTATGTGAGCTTGCCACAGAAGACCTATGTCCCACCATCCTTGTCTATAATGGGAACTCTAATAGTTCTTGCCTCGCAGAATTATTAAGAGAAGCAGACCTTCTAAGTGTGCAGGTACAGCATGATTACTTTTACTATTCCAAAAAATGTATTTTTAAAAAATCTTAAAACCAAGCAGAGATCAGATTCAAGAACTAATTCTCTTAACAGCAGTAAAGAGATTTTAAAGGCTTTTTGAATGGCACATTGTTAAAGCATCTCTTTTGACCAAAGTTTGTTTCTGTTGCTTTCACTAGAAGTTCTCAAGCTTCAAATCATGCCTCAGGATTATTAAAATATACATTGATAGGACCCCAAAATTTACATTTCTAACATGGTATGAGGTGATGCTGGTACCACTGATTAAGGGCCACTAACTGAGAAACAATGGCTAAGACCATCTATCTGATTCCTAACCCCACTCCTGCCAAGGGTACCAACATGGGCACCAACATCACTCCCTGTTTTACCTACCCATCCTCCTCCAAATTATAGGGAGACCTATTTCTGAATGCTTCCCTGGCTTCCTGCACTCTGAGGATCCCAGTGCCTGTCTTTGGGGATATGGTAGTTACTTATCACCATTAACATATGGCAGGCTGTGAACACACTTTAGGGGAATGTCATAGAAATAGGCGTATCCCTGTCCTCCACCCCCACCCCTCACTTTTGTCTTCTGAGTTTAGTGTTCAAAGCTCTCTTTTTAGGCTCTGTTACCATCCAGTGCTGGAAATGCCACTCTTGATCACTGGTAACTACTTGAAACTCACCATGACACCAAAGACAGTAAACAGCTCACTGGGTAGGTGATTTTTCCCTCAAGGGCAGATATCTCAACTCAGCCTGATGTCTTCACATAATTCTTAAATGACAGGCTGATCCCACCATCCTGACAACCCACTCAGCTTGTCAGAACAGGGAGAACATGGCATACTCAGCTCAAAGCCTCAGTGTTGTGAGCGTATACTGTTGCCATGGCCTTCTAACCGAATGGAATTCTGCATGGCAACCATGGGGATAATTTGCCACACCCTGTTGATAGTAATTTTAATATTAATCCATGGTGATCATAACTTATCCTTCTAGGTGCTAACAAACCATCCATTTAATAAAGTGTTTTACAATTTTGCTAGGGATCAAAACTTGGCTGCTGAAATTGGAAGAATATTTTGCAAGTCTCATGATAGATTCATACTGAAAAAGTTTTCATTCAAATAAAATTTTACAATGTCCATTATCACAGTGAAGTATCTGAGAAGTCCCTCACAAAAGACACTTTTTCAAATTTGATGCAATATTTCAGTAATTTGTTATGGAGAACCCAGCTTTTTTTTTCCCCATGAAACATGTACGTTTTTCTACAAGCGTTCATTCATTCAAAAATATTTAATGTTACTCTAGAACCAGGAATTCTGATGAACAAGACAAATCTGTCCCTGTAGAGCTTACACACCAGTGACTAATGCAAAAAAAAAATAAACAAATTAATAGACAATTCAATTTCATGTTGACATAACTGTCATGAATAAAGATGTTTTGGGGAAGAGCTAATAGCAATGGGATACTTCAACATTTGAAGCTCAGGAAGATAAGTAGGACTCAAGTTTATGAAAACAGGAGATGGGTGAGCACCAATAATCTAGAAAAGAACTTCCAGAAGGAGGGAAGAAGCCATCAACAGGGTTGAACTGCTGAATGCTTGAGTTGGTTTCAGTGAAGTCAGGGGGACAAAAGCACAAAGCACATAAGAAGATGCTTAGTTATCATGAGTCATTAGTGAAAGGTGAATCAACACCACACAGAGATACCACTTCACGCCCACTGGAATGTCCATAATCCAAAAGACTGACACAATAAGTGCTGGTGAGAACGTGGAGAATGGGAATGTAATGATTCAGCTGCTTTGGGAAAGAGCTTGAATGTTCCTCAAAGAGTCAACCACCCAGTTATCATATAACTCAGACTTCTACCTCTAGTATATACGCAAGAGAACTGTACATACTTGTACATGAATGTTCACAACAATATCATCCATAGCCCGCATGACCATCTACAGATGAACAGATAAACAAAATGTGGTGTATCAAGACAACAGAATATGATTTGACATATAAAGGAATGAATTATGCCTCATGTGAAAGAATCTAGGCACAAATGGCCATATATTACATGATTGTGTTTATGAAACACCCAGAATAGACAAATTGACCAAGAAAGAAAGAATAGTAGTTCTCAGAGCAGAAATAAAGAGTCAATGGCCCAGGATTTCTTTGGGGATGACGGATATGTTTGACGATGATATAAAGGTGATGATTGTATGACTTTATGAATACCTATAGAACACGGAGTTGTATACTTTAATAAGGTGATTTCTGTGATAAGAGAATTATATTCCAAGAAATTGGTTATTAATTAACGTTAACTGCAGTGAGTGGGAGGTAAGGAGAGAGAGCAACACTGATGTCATTTTGGGGGACTCTGCCCTGCCTATACTTCTGCATTGCCTATACTTCTGCATTGCCTATACTTCTCTTTCAATCATTTTGAGCATTTGTGTTTTACTCATAATCACTTGAGGATGGTTAGTGTAGTTAATATTGTAGTTAATATTGATAGATCGTGTCCCTGCCAGACTGTATTAGAATTCAAATATAAGGAGTAAAATCATGGTTGGGGAAAAGGCAAGGAAAGCTACAGAGTTACCCTCTTCCCAAAAGCTGACCTACAGTCTCATTCAGGAGCCCCATGTGAACCCATCTCCCCTAGACCTGCCCATGAGTAATTTTAGAGGGCAAGTCTTGACCTAAAGAATAACAAAAACAATGTTGTAGGTGGCAGACTAATTCCTCTTCACAAAGACGTCTAATTCCTGACCTGGGAATATGTTAGGTTACATGCCAAAGGAGAATTTAAGTTGCAGATGAATGAAGGTTGCTTACCAGCTAACCTTTAAAAGCAAGAGAGTATCTTGGATTATCTAGGTTAGTTGAATGTCATCACAAGGGTTCTTAGAAGAGGAAAATGTTAAACTTTGTGCTTCAAAGGACAAGCAAGAACATGAAAAGTCAAATCACAGAAAGATAGAAATTTTATTTTGCAGAACATATTGATAAGGGACTTGTATCCAAATTAGAGAAAGAACTACTACAACTGAAGAAGAAAGATAAAAATCCTAACTAACACTGAAAAAGAGAGCTTTACCAATAAAAGCTATATAGCTGAGTGTGGTAGCA